GCCAGGGTACCTTCCCCACGCAAACCAGCCAGGGTACCTTCCCCACGCAAACCAGCCAGGGTACCTTCCCCACGCAAACCAGCCAGGGTACCTTCCCCACGCAAACCAGCCAGGGTACCTTCCCCCACGCAAACCAGCCAGGGTACCTTCCCCCACGCAAACCAGCCAGGGTACCTTCCCCCACGCAAACCAGCCAGGGTACCTTCCCCCACGCAAACCAGCCAGGGTACCTTCCCCCACGCAAACCAGCCAGGGTACCTTCCCCCACACAAACCAGCCAGGGTACCTTCCCCCCCACAAACCAGCCAGGGTAACTTCCCCCACACAAACCAGCCAGGGTAACTTCCCTCTCACAAACCAGCCAGGGTAACTTCCCCCACACAAACCGGCCAGGGTAACTTCCCCCACACAAACCGGCCAGGGTAACTTCCCCCACACAAACCAGCCAGGGTAACTTCCCCCACACAAACCAGCCAGGGTAACTTCCCCCACACAAACCAGCCAGGGTACTTCCCCCACACACACGATCTGATTTGAGTGGGGACATGTACATGACTGAATAGAATTATCAAAGCTTATTGCTTGGGGAGCATTGAAAATTGGGTTGGGCAAATATTCTGTTAGTGGGATGGTTTGTGAAGGATCTGCCTAGTATGGGCCAACAAGCCTGCTACAGTGTTACTGCTTTCTTATGTTCTTGTGTACACCAATTGAGGAAATTGCTTCAGAGGAGGAGGAAGAGAAGGAAGAAGGTGCCTTCTTCAAAGATTAAGGATGTTTGTGCAAAGTGGAGTGAGGCACAAACATTTGTGGAGGAGGAACACCCTAACCCTCCCCCCCCATCCTCCTGTCTTCCATACACCAACAAAAGTCTTCAGTTAAGGTAAGTGTGATATTGTTGTTTTATATATTTGATTTCTCATTTTTTCTGTATGTAAATCTATATTTAATGTAAAAAAAAATATTTTTTTGTTAATACTTTTAGGTGTCTGGAACGGATTAATTGGATTTACATTATTTCTTATGGGGACGATGGTTTCGCAACTCGTAAATTTCGCCATTAGTCACTCTGGAACGGATTAATTACGAAAATTGAGGGTCCACTGTATAATGTATGTATAAGAATTAGATAAGATTTAAACTCTCAAAACATTTTAAAACTTTTTTAAAAAATTAGACCTTATGGCACTTGTACTGCACTATATATAAGACAGTTAAATACAGTATAACTGGAGGGTGTTCTGGGGATATATATATATACACATACATGCATACATACACACATTATTACATTACATTACATTACATTACATTACATACATACATGCTATAAATACTGTACTGAAATTGGGTGAAACTAATGAGTTGAGTCTTTATGGTTTTCCAGTTCATGCTTAGTTTATGAACTGATAATAGCACAAAATTACTATGTACAGTATACCATATTCTCCCTTTTCTACCTGCTTCTTTATCTTTTTCACCATTTCACTCCCTTTTCCTGTGTCAACCCTGTTTGGATGAAAGTCATAGTAAGTTTCTACAGCCTTAGCTTGTCTGCTGGATACGTTCAAAGTATTAAGTTAGACATTTATATCTGGTAGCTTGTCTTCCTTGACCTTTTTGTCTTATATGCTCTCACCATCATGATTTAACCTTTTAGTGCTGGCATCATTTAATTCTTTTCAGTTTCAAAAAATTGCTATTTACGCTGCACCAGATACTGTTCTGTAATTCACACATGTAGAGTTTGTTAAACAAATTGAATGTCCATTTATGGCCTGACTTGCCCACTTGTAAAACGATTGCAAACAAACCATGGTACAAGTGGGTTTAGAATCCATGGCAAGAGTCGTAAAACTCCAGGTCAATGCGTAAACCAGTGACTTACGCACTGGCCTGGAATTTTACAACACACTTGCCATGGGTTCTAAACACACCTGTACCGTGGTTTGGTAGGGATAGCATTTTCTTGTGCACTTCCTAGCTCTTCATCGAAACATATCGCATAATTTTTTTCTTGAAAGATTAGGATGAAGTAGAATCTAGAATAGTTGGCTACAAAATTGTGAGCCAATTAAAGGTACAGGTATGTTTATTTAGCTATGAGCAGCTAAGAAATGCATAGTAAAAGTTTTATTTTCTTGGGTGTATGTAATGTTTACTGTACTCTTCATATTATGAAGTGATGCATATTGATTGATTCAGTAAACCCTTGTTATAACAGACTAATGGGGGGGATGGGGATTCTCATTGTTTGTTAAATCAGAACAGTGTTAAAAAAATTTTTTTAAAAACCACTAATGCTTTACTGTATGTCTGATATAGTACTGTGTAACTAATAAAATACATTTTACTGATATAATACAATAAATATTGAACAATTTACCCTGTAAATTTTGTGTTATTTCAAAGTCTCTTATATCGAGATCCTTTATAATGGTTAGGTAAGCATTGTCAGGAAACAGGAAAAGTGTTTACTGACATGGGGTCTTAATCATATGATGACTTCAGTTATAACAACGGGCTACCATATTTCATGAGTAGAAGTTTATGTAGAATTTATCTGTAAGCATTGAGAGCTACCATCTAGTTGAGTTATTAAATATGATGTGGTTTCACAGTTAATAATTTACTGCATTCCACAAAGAAAATTTAAATGCTACAGTATTCTAAATATGGTATGTTTTGAGTATATTATTATTGTTCAAATTGGAAATGTTAAAGTATTGTTAAAATGTGAAGGAGATTGGCCCTTGAGGGCCATTTTTATTTTTGGGGGGAAAAAAATTCACTGGGCACTAGATTTGGAAGTAGGGAGGGTGGGGGATGACCTCCATGTTTTTGGCCAGAAAATGGTCATTCTGCTCTTGAGTCGTAAAGCGGGGCACAAATTTCACAGCCACTTGCCTCGTGTTCAGATTTCCACTTAAAATACTTTAGCATGACCCATAAGAAATTCCCCACAGCACTTGCTATGTCCTGGATGCTCTGATAACGATTTTTATTAATATCCTTATTATTATTAATGTTAGCATCTGTTTTTGATCTTGATGGATGACCAGCAATTTTATTTCATCCTTGCCTGATGTTTGTCCTGTTTTGCATTGGGAAAAACCATTCACCATTCAACCCATTGCTTCGTTGCCAAATGCATGCTGAAACATTTTGAAAGTTTCACTAGCTGTTTTACCAAACTTGAAACAGAATTTCAAACATTCTTGCTGTTTTTTCTTTTAAAGATTCTAATTTGTTGCATAACAAATTATTCACTGAAAACATGACAAAAAAAATGCCTAGCCTGAACAGAATGAGACTGCATTGAAACTCTCCATGCTACTACAATAAGGAGTGTACTGTGCAACATGATCTATGCTGCCATCATATGTCACCCAGGAAGTGCACAAAAATTAGATTCTGGGAACATCTTGATAGCACCTCATTTTTTTTTTTTTTTTTTTTCTGACAAGTTGGCTGTCTCCCACCGAGGCAGGGTGACCCAAAAAGAAAGAAAATCCCCAAAAAGAAAATACTTTCATCATCATTCAGCACTTTCACCTCGCTCACACATAATGACTGTTTTTGCAGAGGTGCCCAGAATACAACAGTTTAGAAGTATATACGTATAAAAATACACAATATATCCCTCCAAACTGCCAATATCTCGAACCCCTCCTTTAGAGTGCAGGCATTGTACTTCCCATTTCCAGGACTCAAGTCCAGTTATATAAAATAACCGGTTTCCCTGACTCCCTTCACTAAATATTACCCTGCTCACACTCCAACAGCTCGTCAGGTCCCAAATACCATTTGTCTCCATTCACTCCTATCTAACACGCTCACGCACACTTGCTGGAAGTCCAAACCCCTCGCCCACAACACCACCTTTACCCCCTCTCTCCAACCTTTTCGAGGACGACCCCTACCCCGCATTCCTTCCCCTACAGGTTTATATGCTCTCCATGTCATTCTACTGTGATCCATTCTCTCTAAATGACCAAACCACCTCAACAAACCCTCTTCAGCCCTCTGACTAATACTTTTATTAACTCCACACCTTCTCCTAATTTCCACACTCCGAATTTTCTGCATAATATTTACACCACACATTGCCCTTAGACAGGGCATCTCCACTGCCTCCAGCCGCCTCCTCGCTGCAGCATTTACAACCCAAGCTTCACACCCTTATAAGAGTGTTGGTACTACAGTACAGTGGACCCCCGGTTAACGATATTTTTTCATTCCAGAAGTATGTTCCGGTGCCAGTACTGACCGAATTTGTTCCCATAAGGAATATTGTGAAGTAGATTAGTCCATTTCAGACCCCCAGACATACACGTACAAATGCACTTACATAAATACACTTACATAATTGGTCGCATTGGGAGGTAATCGTTAAGCGGGGGTCCACTGTACTATACTTTCATACATTCCCTTCTTTGCCTCCATAGATAACATTTTTTGCCTCCACATATACCTCAATGCACCACTCGCCTTTTTTCCTTCATCAATTCTCTGATTAACCTCATCCTTCATAAATCCATCCACTGACACATCAACTCCCAATTATCTGAAAACATTCACTTCTTCCATACTACTTCTCCCCAATTTGATATCCAATTTTTCTTTATCTAAATCATTTGATACTCTCATCACCTTACTCTTTTCTATGTTCACTTTCAACTTTCTACCTTTACACACACTCCCAAATTCGTCCACTAACCTTGGCAATTTTTCTTTAGAATCTCCCATAAGCACAGTACAATTAGCAAAAAGTAACTGTGACACTTCCCATTTTGTATTTAATTCCCCATAATTTAATCCCACCCCTCTCCCGAACACCCTAGGATTTACTTCTTTTACAACCCCATCTATAAATAGTATATTAAACAACCATGGTGACATTACACATCCCTGTATATTCATTGAAATACATTACTGTATACAACATTTATACCTGTGTATTTGTTACAAAAGATTAATGTGACTATTTTCCTTTTCAGATTGTTTGAAGCTGAAGAGCAAGATCTTTTCTCTGACTTACAATCATTGCCCCGTAATGCAGCACTTAGGAAACTAAATGATCTCATCAAACGTGCCCGGCTAGCCAAGGTGAGGTGTGAGAAATTTGCTAAGTGGTTTCTACCCATTGTTGACTTCATGGGTCATCACCCCTTTTTTGGTGGTGGGGGTGACCCCCTAGTTTGATAGTCTGACCAGTTAGGTTGTTGGTGCTAGCAGAAAGCAGTCAGCATAGGCTTCTCAGCCTAAGGCCCAATAATTTTCAACACCTAGTTGATCAGAAACTGATCAGTTAGGTTTTGAAAAGCATTGGGCAATTTACACTTGTTGAGTTCTCTTAGTATATTTATTACACCCCTACATTTCATTGTGGGTATGTTGCACCATATGCTGAGCCTGTTGCTCAATCATACCTGAACCATTTAATAAGTGTCCATTAGTTTTTAACATATAAATACTGAATACTTTTAAATGTCAGTAGCTGTATATAAAACCAGCACCATTTTTTTTTTACTTTAAATAGTAAGATGACATAGAATAGCATAAACACACAAAATAGTAAGGGAATGCGAAAGTGATTTTTTTTTTTTTAACAAGTCGGGCCATCTCCCACCAAGGCAGGGTGACCCAAAAAGAAAAATGCTTTCAGCATAATTCAACACTTTGACCATCATTCACACATAATCACTGTCAAAGAATTTAAATCCATTATTTGATATCAGTAATACAAATATGAAACAGTGCAAGGAATAAAAGCACTTAAAATGAAAAGTAATTGAGGCATGTATAGATTGATTTAGATATCTGTTGATAGCCTTGTAAAATAGAGGACTAGTGATGAGTAGAATAATTCATAGAGGAAAATAGTTTTACCATAGTTAATTTTAAGCCTGCCCATAATGCTTTGCATACAAGGGGTTTTGGCATGTTGCACTTTAACTGTATTCCTTTGTACTTCCCTGTATCACATTCAAATTAATAAATAAATAAATAGATTTAGAATAGACTAAATCAACTGACGATTCGGCTGCATGAAGGTTTGGGGAGATAGTATTATACAGTGTGTTAGAGGGATGACAGTTGTGAACTGGTTGATGGTGGTGATTACAGGTCCTCCATCACAAATCCGGCATCATTGGGACCTGTAGTGTGCCGGATTACTGAGTTTGCCAGATTACAGAGTGGGTAGGTTAGAATATACTTAATAAAATTAACCAACTTGACTTGCACAAAGTTCATTGAACTTCGGCAAAAATCGAACATTTCCGCTACTTTGAGCTCAATTTGAAGGTACTTTTCGTCATGAAAGCAATCAAAATCATGTCTATTTCTGTAATATATCTTACATTCTATCAAACAAGTCCAAAAAAATGAGAATACAACCATAAAAACCATACGAAAATATACTGCAAAGAGGCGGCTAATGGCTGAGAAGTGAACTCCCTCATTTATCGTCCGTATTTTTTATTTTTGTTGCATGTTAAGAAGCATCTTTCCATCATACATTGCCCAAGTTTCAATGAGATAGCCCAAGAAACAACCGAGAAAAAAAAAATATTTACCAAAAATCATATATGGCAAGCCCAAGCCAGGTACTGGAAATAAGTCACTTTGACTTTTCTGGGTTATCCTAGGTTCTCTATACATACGCTGCTATGTATGATAATCTATGTAACTGTATCTGTGTATACCTGAATAAACTTGTTTACTTCTAGTCTGTCGACTGAGTACAAGAAACTGCCCATTCACTTATTTCAACTACCCAATAAAGTGGTCAGAAATTGGCAATTTGGCCAATTTCACACAAATTTCAACAGATGCCAATTTCAAAATGATGTCCAGAATAAACAATGCAGACATTCCTGGCACTAAAATAACATTTTCTCTGTTCATTAGTCACGGCTACATGCCCCTCTTATATTACTCTTGCTTTTCATTTGGAATTTTTATTCACAAAAACAAATAGAAGATTTACTGTTATGCAGACTGCTGCATTATTGTAATAATTGTATAAATAATGTCAACCCATTCTTGACTACGTATTGGAATTTGGACTGGCAGGCGGACAGGTATTGGACAGCGACATCATTTGTTTAATCTTGAGCTTCACTAAAGAATAGAACATTTTCGCTACTGTGAGTGCAATTTCAAGGTACTTTTCGTCATGAAAACAATCAAAATCATATCTATTTCTGTAATGTATCTTTCATTCTATCAAATGAGACTGAAAAAATGAGAATATAACCATAAAAAACACAAATATACTGCTAAGCGGCCACTAATGGCTGAGAAGTGAACTCCACTATTTATGGTCTGATTTCTTTCATTTTTGGTGTAGATTAAGAAGCATCTTTCCATTGTACATTGCCCAAGTTTGAATAAGATAACCCAACAAACATCTGAGAAAATAAATAAATAATAATAATAATAATAATATCTTTATTTACTACACGTACATGTACAAGGTATACAGGCCTAGCTGACATCCGTGACATACTACTACTGTATAGAAAGCCACATGTTATTAAGAGTATTTCAAGAAAATTAGGTCAGCATCTCAGGATAACACCCACACTAGTCTGCTAACACCCAGGTACCCATTTACTGATGGGTAAACATAGACAACAGGTGTAAAGAAACACTCCTAATGTTTCTACCCTGGCTGGGAATCGAATGTTTACCAAAAATCATATATGGCTAACCCAAGCCAGGTACTAAAAATAAGCCACATTGACTTTTTTGGGTTATCCTAGGTTCTCTACACATATGCTGCTGTGTGTGATAATCTATATAGAGAAAATAACTTTTGTTTCAGGTTTATGGTGCGGTACGAGTGTATATCACAGTTAGCCCTGTGCTATACTCCGTTTTCTCTAATATAAGCCCCCAAGATAGGGATAGGAGAATGGTATTTGTATACCATATCCTCTTCATACCTCCATCGAACTGCTCGGTGTTATGCCAAATATTATTCATTCTGGAGCATTTAACATGTTTTATGTTATTTATATTGTTTCTTATGTCATATTAGATCAATTGTGATAGGCAAATAAGGTGTAGTGTTGATATTAGCGTAATAATAAAGCATATTCTCCTGCTTCATGAGACTGAGCTCATGGCAACCGACAGTGGCTTCAAAGCCACCTTATTTTTAATGGGTAATGTACTGTGTAGGTGTTTTACATAGTGAAAAGTATTTCTTTTATTCATTGGAACCATGGCTAGGGCTAAAAGTAAGCAGGTTAAAACAATAAATGGAGAAAAAGAAATTGGAATGACTTATGCAGCAAGTAGCACCACCAAACAGTACCAGCAGGTTGGTGTGGCAACCCTGGAAATTTGAAATTATGCTAGCCAAAATTAGTGCCGAATAATTGAAGGAACCGAATAACTGATTGCCGGATTTGTGATGGCGCACCTGTATGAAGTTAGTACTGGAGTTACCTGTTTGAATTCCTCCTCCTGAGGATGAACAGTTTTGTGGATAGTGTACATGTGTTCTGCACAAGATGGATATGGGGTGTACAGTAAACTAGCCACTACCATTCACAGGATAGTTATGGGGATGCATGATAAATTAGCCACTACTGTCCAGAGAGTTAGCTCTGTCATTATATTGCTCTAGAAAAAAAAAAAGTGATATTATGAAGTCCTGCATTAAAAATTTTTATGATTTTTTTTTCTCGTTTTTAGGTCTGATTTGTTATGGATCATATGTTTTATGCCTTTCTTTATTTTCATATACAGTGGTACCTCAAGTTACGGCCTTAATTCGTTCCAGAAAGCTGTTTGAGTGCCATTACCGAACAAATTTATTCCCATAAGGAATAACGTAAATTAGATTATAGGAGAATAAGTCTGTTGAGTATTCCTGGTAAAGTGTATGGTAGTTATTATTGAAAGAATTAAGAATAAGAGAGAGAGTAGGATAGATGAACAAGGAGGCTTTAGGAAAGGTAGGGGGTGTGTAGACCAAGTGTTTACAGTGAAACATATAGGTGAACAGTATTTAGGTAAAGGTAAAGAGGTTTTTGTGGCATTTATGGATTTAGAAAAGGCATATGACAGGGTGGATAGGGGGGCAATGTGGCAGATGTTGCAGGTGTATGGTATAGGAGGTAGGTTACTGAAAGCAGTGAAGAGTTTTTACAAGGATAGTGAGGCTCAGGTTAGAGTATGTAGGAGAGAGGGAAATTATTTCCCAGCAAAAGTAGGCCTTAGACAAGGATGTGTGATGTCACTGTGGTTGTTCAATATATTTATAGATGGGGTTGTAAGAGAAGCGAATGTTAGGGTCTTGGCAAGAGGTGTGGAGTTAAATGATAAAGAATCAAACACAAAGTGGGAGTTGTCACAGTTGCTCTTTGCTGATGACACGGTGCTTTTGGGAGATTCTGAAGAGAAGTTGCAGAGGTTGGTGGATGAATTTGGTAGGGTATGTAAAAGAAGAAAATTTAAAGTGAATATAGGAAAGAGTAAGGTTATGAGGATAACAAAAAGATTAAGTGGCGAAAGACTGGATATCAGATTGGAGGGAGAGAGTATGGAGGTGAATGTATTCAGATATTTAGGAGTGGACATGTCAGCAGATGGGTCTATGAAGGATGAGGTGAATCACAGAATTGATGAGGGGAAAAGGGCGAGTGGTGCACTTAGGAGTCTGTGAAGACAAAGAACTTTGTCCTTTTAAGCAAAAAGGGGAATGTATGAGAGTATAGTTGTACCAACACTCTTGTGTGGGTGTAAAGCATGGGTGATGAATGTTGCAATGAGGAGAAGGCTGGAGGCAGTGGAGATGTCATGTCTGAGGGCAATATGTGGTGTGAATATAATGCAGAGAATTCATAGTTCGGAAATTAGGAAAAGGTGTGGGATTACCAAAACTATTCAGAGGGCTGAGGAGGGGTTGTTGAGGTGGTTCGGACATGTAGAGAGAATGGAACAAAACGGAATGATTTCGAGAGTGTATAAATCTGTAGTGGAGGGAAGGCGGGGTAGGGGTCGGCCTAGGAAGGGTTAGAGGGAGGGAGTAAAGGAAGTTTTGTGTGCGAGGGGCTTGGACTTCCAGCAAGCGTACATAAGCGTATTTGATAGGAATGAATGGAGACAAATGGTTTTTGATGTGCTGTTGGAGTGTGAGCAAAGTAACATTTATGAAGGGATTCAGGGAAAGTGACAGGCCGGACTTGAGTCCTGGAGATGGGAAGTACAGTGTCTACGCTCTGAAGGTGTTAGTGTTGCAGTTTTATAACTGTAGTGTAAAGCACCCTTCTGGCAAGACAGTGATGGAGTGAATGATGAAAGTTTTTCTTTTTCGGGCCACCCTGCCTTGGTGAGAACCGGCCGATGTGTTAATAAAATAAAATAGATTAGTCCATTTCAGACCACCAAAAATACATACAAAAGCACTTACAAAAATACACTAAATGGTATTTACTGGGTTCCACAATGCTTTGGATGCAACACAATTTTTTTTTTATATTGAACACACCTGCCCTGCAGACATGTTTTCTGATGTAGGCCTTACCAGGCCAATCTAAGATCCCAGAATTTTGACATACATTTAGGTCAATGGCATCTTCCCATTTGGTGTAAATTTAAGCCATCAAGAGCTTAAGGTTGAACAAAATCTTTTGTTTTATCTCGTATTCCCCCACCAAATGTTTCAAAGACATAATTTTTTTAAAACTCAATGAAGTATTGCACTTAATTTGCATTTAAAGTTCCATGTTCTTTCCTTAGGTTCATGCATACATCATCTCAGAGCTGAAGAAGGAAATGCCTTCCATGTTTGGCCGGGAAAATAAAAAGAAAGAACTAATCAAGAACTTAAGTGCAATCTATGATAAGATTCAACGAGAACACCAGATCTCTCCTGGAGACTTCCCTGAAATTAAAAGAATGCAGGTCTGTAGTCGGATAGGGCAAGCTCGCTTTCCAGAACTGTGCTTGAAAACTCGAAATGGTTTTATTTTATTATTTTCATGCAGAGTTACACCTCTGATTGATCAATAAAATTGCATAATTTTTTTTTTAATTTTTAATATGCAAAGTACATAAATAAATTTTCATATTTTAAATTACTATAATGATTAACATCAGTTAACAGTATAATGCCTTAGTAAAAAATATATATACTTTAATCGATTTTGATATAAAGAGTGGAGTAAATATTATTTTTAATTGATGTATAAGAGTTTCAGCAAATCTAACACTAGTATAACCTCCCAGGAACAATTACAACATCATGACTTCACCAAATTTAATGTCATGAAGCCACGACTATTGGAAGCCGTAGACAGAATGCTGGCAGAAGACATTGCTCGTTTGATGGCCATGATCCCTGTAGAAGAGGCTGCTTCCAACAAGGAAAATACAGTCATACGTGGTAGGTGCAGTTTGAAGCTCACCAGGTAATTGATGACTATCTTAGACAAAAATGTGAAGTATGCATTTAGATCAGTAGTGCAGCCTCAGGCTGTTACTTTATTTTTTCCAGTTAATAGCTAATTTTTACTGTATTGCATTGACCTGAGACCACAGAAGCATGATAATTTAAGAAATTTCATGTACTTACTTAAAAATCATACATTTTTAAGAGTTGTTGTTGAGGTGGTTTGGTCATTTACAGAGAATGGATCAAAGTAGAATGACATGGAAAGCATATAAATCTATAGGGGAAGGAAGGCGGGGTAGGGGTCGTCCTCGAAAGGGTTGGAGAGAGAGGGTAAAGGAGGTTTTGTGGGCAAGGGGCTTGGACTTCCAGCAAGCGTGCGTGAGCGTGTTAGATAGGAGTGAATGGAGACGAATGGTACTTGGGACCTGACGATCTGTTGGAGTGTGAGCAGGGTAATATTTAGTGAAGGGATTCAGGGAAACTGGTTATTTTCATATAGTCGGACTTGAGTCCTGGAAATGGGAAGTACAATGCCTGCACTTGAAAGGAGGGGTTTGGGATATTGGCAGTTTGGAGGGATATGTTGTGTATCTTTATATGTGTATGCTTCTTAACTGTGTATTCTGAGCACCTCTGCAAAAACAGTGATAATGTGCGAGTGTGGTGAAAGTGTTGAATGATGATGAAAGTATTTTCTTTTTGGGGATTTTTTCTTTTTTGGGGATTTTTTCTTTTTTGGGTCACCCTGCCTTGGTGGGAGACTGCCGACTTGTTGAAAAAAAAAAAAAAATTTTAACCTCCCCATCCCCAAGATTGAAATCCTGGCTGTGCTACTGTTTAAGATAGATTATATACAGATACCCAGATAGACTACTGTACAGCCTCTCCTCGCTTAACGACGGAGTTCCATTCCTAAGACCACGTCGTTAAACGAATTCGTCGCTAAGTGAGGAGCATGCTGTAATGGTAGTGGATTTGTGTCGACCATCTTTGATATTGTTTTAATTTCACCTTTGCACCATTTATAACATTTCTGGTATATTTTTTAAAAGTTTATACAGTAGTGTACTGTACAGTGGTCCCTCAATCGTCCGGCCTGAAAGTCGTCCATTTCGGAAATAGTCCTGTTTTTTCGTCTAAATGTTGGCTTGCAAATGGTCCGTTAACTCGCTAATCGTCCTTTGTCCGGGACGGGTACTCATGCTCTGAGCCGCCTGGGCCTGCCTTCCCAGCCAGTGTGCCATTGTTTACCAGTGAGTGACGGTCCCCTCACATGCTCCTACGAAATATTTCATAATATTCCATTGATTTTAGTGCTTGCAAGTGCTAAATAAGCTACCATGGCTCCAAAGAAAGCTTCTAGTGCCAGCCCTTTGGTAAAGAGTGTGAGAAACACATAATTTATGAAAAAGTTTGTAGAAAAAACAAAGATGGTGGTGGTAGAGTAGAAGCATTTGTGATAGTGGTTGATGAATTTAAGAACATAAGAAAGGAGGATCACTGCAGCAGGCCTAGTGGTTGATGAATTTAAGAACATAAGAAAGGAGGATCACTGCAGCAGGCCTGTTGGCCCATGCTCGGCAGGTCCTTTACAATTCATCCCACTAATGAAACATTTTCCCAACCCAGTCCTCAATTCTACCCAAGAAATAAGCTCTGATAACTCTATCCATTCATTTGGGACTTGCAAATGAGTGGATCGAGTTCAGAGCTTATTTCTTGAGTAGCATTGAGGACTGGGTTGGGAAAATGTTTCGTTAATGGGATGAATTGTAAAGGACCTGCCGAGCATGGGCCAACAGGCCTGCTGCAGTGATCCTCCTTTCTTATGTTCTTAAATTCATCAACCACTAGGCCTGCTGCAGTGATCCTCGTTTCTTATGTTCTTAAATTCATCAACCACTATCACAATGCTTCCACTCTACCACCACCATCTTTGTATTTTTCTACAAACTTTTTCATAAATTATGTGTTTCTCACATTCTTTACCAAAGGGCTGGCACTAGAAGCTTTCTTTGGTGGTAGTGATGGTGGTAGAAGGTGGTAGTGATGGTGGTAACAGTTGTAATAGTGGTAGAAGGTCGTAGTGATGGTTGTAGAGGGTTCCTTCTTTAGTGATTCAGCGATTCTACCAACTCCTCCAATGTGATGAATGGTTTGAAAAACTGACAAGTTGAAGATTGAGACACTTATGCAACATATGGGAATCTTTATTCAGGAAACGTTTCGCCACACAGTGGCTTCATCAGTCCAATACAAAGTGGAAAGGCGTAAGGAGAGGAGGAGTTAGAGGTAATCAGTCCCTCAGCCTGGAGTCGATATGTTCAGTCCATCAATCTTGTAGAATGTACAGCATAGGGCCATAGACATGGCTTATATACTGTAGTGAGGTGAGGCGAAGCCACTGTGTGGCAAAACGTTTCCTGAATAAAGATTCCCACATGTTGCATAAGTGTCTCAATCTTCAACTTGTCGGTTTTTCAAACCATTCATCACAACTGTCAGACACTGCAGCATCATGGGATCTTGTTACAAAGAATTCTTCTACACTTGTCCAACCTTTGGACGAAGACCTACTTCGACTAGTGGATGATACCACTATGACCCCACCTCCTCCTGCTTCGCCTCGCCTCACTACAGTATATAAGCCACGTCTACGGCCCTATGCTGTACATTCTACAGGATTGATGGACTGAACACATCGACTCCAGGCTGAGGGACTGATTACCTCTAACTCCTCCTCTCCTTACGCCTTTCCACTTTGTATTGGACTGATGAAGCCACTGTGTGGCGAAACGTTTCCTGAGTAAAGATTCCCATATGTTGCATAAGTGTCTCAATCTTCAACTCCTCCAATGTTGTTGGAGTTATATAGGGCTACAAAAACCACCACCGCCTCAGCTGCTGCTTCACCATCATTATGGACGGCTTACACTCAGTGGCCCTTATATACCCAACAACAACACAACACAACACAACACCTCTCGTGACATACGTAATGACTTATTTTATTCATTCTAGAGTATATTCCATGTTTCTATGTTATTAATATTGTTTATTATGTCATATTAGTTGAATTGTGATAGGTAAATAAGCCATAGAGTTGATATTAGTGTCATATTCTCCAACAATAAACTTGCCATCCCTCCCTCACACAAACAAATAGCCAGTAAGAACATAACAATGGAAGAACACTGCAGGTCTACTGGCCCATACAAGGCAGGTCCTTATCAAAATGACCTATACCCAAAGCTACGCAAGAATTTACTCCCGTACCCAATGACACAAATCAAACTCGGCTCCTCCAACTCGTATATTTGTCCAATCTCTTCTTAAAGCTACCCAGGGTCCTAGCCTCGATCACCCTACTGGTAAGTGTGATGTTAAATAAGAACTTAAGAAAGTAGGAACACTGGAACAGGCCTGCTGGCCCATACTAGGCCAGTCCTTCACAAATCCAACCCACTAACAGAACAAATGCTACCCAAGCAATAAGCTCAGGTGCAAGTCCGACTCAAATCCAACCCCTCTCACTCGTGTATTTATCCAACCTAAATTTGAAACTACCCAATGTTTTAGCTTCGATCACCCTACTAGGCAGACCGTTCCACTCATCAACTACCCCTATGGAGGGGGATTCCCCTTCCAAATAACCTCTTCCCTCTCTCCTCCTCCCTGTCTTCCATTCATCAACAACAGCCTTCAATAAAGGTAGCTGTCAATTGAATGTTCATTCTTTTGTGCATGTAAATCTATCTTTTAGGTAAAAAAAAATTGTTATTGATACTTCTGGGTGTCTGGAACGAATTAATTGTATTTACATTATTTCTTATGGGGAAAATTGATTCGAAAATCGCCCATTTCGATAATAGTCCCACTTCCAGGAACGGATTATGGACGATTATTGAGGGACCACTGTATATTGAAATAAACAGAATAGAAGAAATCAGCACTAATACATTATTTAGGCATAAATACTAGTCAGAGTGCCTGTCGTAAGACTGAGGCGTCGGTAAACAAGTACGTACATTGCTGAGTGAGGAAAGGCTGTATTACACTTTGTTTTATGAAACAAGTAGAGAATGTCTCGGCATATATGTACATGCTTAACATTTATCTTATGGATTATACTTGCCTTGATGGGTGGTATACAGGTTACATATAGCATTAATAACCCTCGTGTGGCTGATAGGCTTTAGATTCACTAAATTAATGACCTACGAAAATCTGTCTTTTCACTTGACAGTTTGTCAGCAAATTTATCTGCAGTAGACTCACTTGTTTTGATTCTAAATGTTGCATTATTATTATTGCTATTTAAATTTTAATACAAGGAATAGTCTTGGGTTCTTCATTGAGTTACATCTTTGTGCCTTTCTTGCACCCATTTTTTTTTTTTTTTACATGGGGTACATTGTGCCAAATACTGAATCATGTGCTGTCATAGTGAGTAATTTTAGGATACAGATTTGAAACCTTTTCAGCAATACCTGTATTACTAAAACTTTAGATGTTCCCAGTAACTTGTGATAGTTCTCTGTACATTCTCCAGATCTGCTGTTTCATGTACCTTAAATGGGGCTGTTAATATGCAGCCATATTCCATACATATTCCATCATTGTTTGGAAGGTTCTTGTATGTTAGTTGGGTAAAGTTAAAAATCAAAGCAGACACAGATGTAAATAAAAAAAGTGTAGTGTTCAACATCCAGTTCATGCAACAAAAATACATTAGCCAAACAATCTTTCTTCTTTTTTTTTAACATGTCGGCCATCTCCTGTGGAGGCAGGTGGCCCCAAAAAAGAAAGAAACCCTTTCACCATCATTCAACACACACTCGCACTCTCACACTCACACTCTCACACACTCACACTCTCACACTCTCCATCACTCATCCCTCACACTCTCATCTCTCCTCTCATCTCTCATCTCTCATCTCTCACTCTCTCATCTCTCACTCTCTCATCTCTCACTCTCTCATCTCTCACTCTCTCATCTCTCACTCTCTCATCTCTCACTCCTCATCTCATCACTCTCTCACTCTCACTCTCTCATCTCTCACTCTCTCATCTCTCACTCTCTCATCTCTCACTCTCTCATCTCTCACTCTCTCATCTCTCACTCTCTCATCTCTCACTCTCTCATCTCTCACTCTCTCATCTCTCACTCTCTCATCTCTCACTCTCTCATCTCTCACTCTCCTCACTCACTCTCCATCTCTCACTCTCACTCTCTTCCTCTCACTCTCTCATCTCTCACTCTCTCATCTCTCACTCTCTCATCTCTCACTCTCTCATCTCTTCTCACTCTCTCATCTCTCCACTCCACTCTCTCATCTCTCACTCTCTCATCTCTCACTCTCTCATCTCTCACTACTCTCCTCATCCTCTCCACTCTCTCATCTCTCTCTACCTCACTCTCATCTCTCACTCTCTCATCTCTCACTCTCTCATCTCTCACTCTCATCATCTCTCCACTCTCTCATCTCTCACTCTCTCATCTCTCACTCTCTCATCTCTCACTCTCTCATCTCTCACTCTCTCATCTCACTCTCTCATCTCTCACTCTCTCATCTCTCTCTCTCACTCTCTCTCATCTCTCACTCTCTCTCCTCATCTCTCACTCTCCCTCTCATCTCTCACTCCCCTCTCTCTCACTCTCCATCTCTCACTCTCTCTCACTCTCTCCACTCACTCTCATACTCTCACTCTCTCACTCACTCTCATCCTCACTCTCATCACTCACTCTCATACTCACTCTCATACTCTCACTACTCACTACTCATACTCTCATACTCGCTGTCTTTGCAGAGGTGCTCAGATACAACAGTTCAGATGTCACTCCAAACAGCAAATATCCCAAACCCCTCCTTTAAGTGCAGGCACTGTACTTCCCACTTCCAGAACTCGAGTCTGGCTAACTGGTTTACCTGAATCCCTTAACAAAATATTACCCTGATCACACTCCAACAGATCGTCAAGTCCCAAAAAAACATTTATCTCCATTCATTCCTGTCTAACATGCTCACACATACCTGCTGTGTGTCCAGGCCCCTTGCACACAAAACCTCTCTTACCCTCTCCTTCCATCCTTTTCTAGGATGACCCCTCGAAATGACCATCTCTTAAATGACCATCCTCTCTAAATAACCATCCTCTCTAAATAACCATCCTCTCTAAATGACCATTCCACCTCAACAAACCCTCCTCAGCCCTCTGGATAATACTTTTAGAAACCCCACACCTAGTCTCCAAGATGCCTGTATATGGATTACTATGGTGTACTTAACGTTTTCTTAAGACAAACTTGCCTACTTGCCTTATCCAATGAGGATTTTACCCTGCAAGCCAGGCATATACCTATAGTCATGTGTGCTATAACTCTGAAAATAAATTTGAACATCAGAAATTAAATTAAATGATGTAATATTAACTAAATTTAGGTTAACCTGAGATAGCTTAGATTAGACTTAAGAGAAATTATTGTTTAAGTTTAATTTTGAAGAATTGAGACACTTGTGCAACACATGGGAATCTTTATTGAAGAAACGTTTCGCCACACAGTGGCTTCATCAGTCCAATACAAAGTAGAAATGGGTAAGGAGAGGAAGAGTTCGAGGTAATCAGTCCCTCAACCTGGAATCGATGTGTTCAGTCCATCACTCTTGTAGGAAGTGCAGAATAGGGCCAGAGAAGTGGCTTATATATGGCAGTCAGATGAGTTGAAGCAGAAGGAGTGATGGACTGAACACATCTATTCCAGGTTGAGGGACTGATTACCTCAAACTCCTCCTCTCCTTACCCATTTCTACTTTGTATTGGACTGATGAAGCCACTGTGTGGCGAAACGTTTCTTCAATAAAGATTCCCATGTGTTGCACAAGTGTCTCAATTCTTCAACTTGTCGGTTTTCAAAACCATTCACCACAAAGTTTAATTTTAGCAAGGTTAGGTTATTAACTTACACTTTTACAGTTAAAAATATTTATTGTTCTTTTATAATTAAAAAGATTATATTTGCCAGTGCATAATAAATAAATAAATTACTTTTTAAAGCATTTGAATAAATTTATCTATGTACAGCATAACATGTTTGGTGGAGGAACCACTAATACATGGAAGTGTTAACGTAATGTTTAAACATGCATGTGATCAACCACAAATTTTTAACAGGGCTTGTTTTAGCACTACTTTATTGGTGCTGGTACTCTAAATAATGTAAACTAAGATGCTAACTAGTAGAGTATTGAAGTGTGCACTAATTTTTAAATATTGACTTAATATTTCAACAGTATGCTAATACTTTCAATTAATGAATTTGTTAAAACTAAAATCTCCAACAAAATTGTTAGTCAGATATGAATATTATTAGCTTTAGGCTTGGTTTGATTGAATGGAAAAAATGCGATGTGCTAGTTCTGAATGAATAACTTGAAACATATTTCATCATCTGTGTTTTCATATTTTTTTTTAGCTCTCTTGACTGAAGGCAAGGCAAGCTTATGCATTAATCCTGGGTCCATCTCTGCATTATTCTGGGACATCTGAAATAATAATCCAATTAATTTGAAATGTGAAATGGATGTTTCTTATGAAAGGTTGTATTCAAGGTTTTTTAGTGACATATTTGCACCTGTTTTTAGTAGTCCACTACAACTGGTTATAGAAATGCCAATTTCAAAGTTTATAGCAGTATTGAATTCAATGATGTGAAAGTTAACATGATTTTTGGGGTGTATCGCTTCAAGGAAATTATAGCAGAATTTTCAGATTAATTATTTATTGATTTTACACGACTCGCTTGATGAGCCCCTTTGTTATATGCAAATACAGGGAGGCTGTTATTCTTTTATCATGCACATGTGTATGCACTCTAATTGAACTGGGCCTGGCTCCAGGAGTAGAAAAACTCTTTGAGATGCATTGGAGGAGGATAGAGTATACTCGCTCACTTTCTTAGTTCGCCTAGCCCTAGATATGTATGGTATCTGGTTGTAAGTCATTTAATGAGCTGCTTCCTGGAAAAGGGTAAACCATAGAATCAGGCTATAAAATGAGCTTTGGTAGAATAATTGCTTTTAATCTAATAAATGAATTGCATAAAAATGAAAATCAGAAACTTAGATGCAGTGGAAGAGTGACTGTTGTACCAAGTGACTGATTTGTTGCAAGTAGTATGTCAATCGTTATTCAGTATATTTATGGATGGAATTTTGAGCAAGATAAAAATGATAATATGAGGAAGGGTGTGAACTTTGTACTGGATGAGAGCACAAGAAAATAATGCTCATCATACTTGATGGATGTATGTATGTAAATGTTCTACTTGCATCCTGTGGGACACTTGTAATTGAAAATGCTGTTTTCTGTGAAAGAACATAGTTAAAGTAATGGTAGCAGAGAGAAAATTTTGTAATTACTGTACCAATTTGTACTTAAAGAAAAAGCAATGCTCTTGGTCTTCAGTATTTTGTTTGTCAATTTTTAAGTTGTTTATGGTTGTAACACACATTATCCTCTTGGACTCCTTTCCATCTTGGGTTTTGAACTTCTGTTCCTGGGCCCTGTCTTGACCACTAATAGTGTGATTCATCCCTATCCCCTTGAATTTTGTTAGATTTGCATTTGAATTTGCTTATGTTTCTTTTACACTGTTTTATTTACTGTTTCATAAGTTTGTATTATATAGCACTACTGGTATCTCTGGCACTACTATATGACTATCACAGTAGAGTATACCTTAATAACACCAGTGTTTTCTTCCTATAAAATAGGAGCCTCATGCATTGACTTTTGCTAAACATTCTTGTAGGACACCAAGAATACAGGCTTTTTAAAACTGCATGTAAATTTGGTGCACAAGATGGTTTGCCCTTAATACAAATTATCATGAGCCTGGTATGATTTGTGTGCTGCACATATTAGTTGTGCCCAGTTTCCTATGTGGCCATATAGATGTCTTTTGTTGTAACTGGGATACTATTGGTTGCTTGTTTGATTGCCAAGCAGGATTGTGTTACATCAGATTAAGTGGAGATAGTGGTTTCTATTGCTTGATGTGTGTGTGAGCAAAATAACCTTTATGATGAGATTCAAAAAACCTGGTTAGCCATACATGTAGGTAGGAAGTATTATAGTGCACTTTCAAGGAGAGGGATAGATGTTGCAGTTCAAATGGTCACTTTAATTTTGATGTCTGTACAAATCTGGCATGGCAGTTATCGTATGAATGATGGCAAATGTGTTTCCTTGGTGGAAGATGGCCAGTGTAGTTAAAAAAAAAAAAAAAATTATTATAGTCTTTGAATTCTGTGCCTATGTGCATGCTTACACAGGATGAAAGTGTCATAGATAGAATATGCAAGTAATGTAATAGTTTTTAATGATTATTTTTTTTGTTTCAGCCTTACATGGTGCTTTTTTTTTTATTAATGTATTCCCCCCCCCCCCCCTTTTTTTTTTTTTTTTTATAGGTGGTGCCTTTGATGGTGTTATGAATGATAGCACTGTGTTTGGCTTCAAGAGAGGTGAAGGTGCCGATGCAGGAGCAGGGGACCCTGATTGGATAGTGGCCAAAGATCGTTATAAGTACGATCAACTCTTCGACAACCTCAACCCTGTTGATGGCAAGATAACTGGCTCAGGTATGAAATCGTATACAGTAGGGCCCCCACTTATATGGCAGGTTAGGTTCCAAGCTACTGCCAGAAAACAGACATCGCCAGAAAGCAGAACGCCATAATAAGTTTACACTAACATATATTAAGTTAGCAATAGAACAAGACATTAAGAAACAATTAAAAGTAAAATACACAGTACACTCATTACTTGCTTCAAAATATTTGTAGTCTTAATGTAGAGTGGGAAGCGAATAGTGTTTATTGTAATAAGTTAGGTATGGTAGGACTGGTAGCCAGCCAGGCCACCCCACCCACACATTATATACTTAGACATTTAAAGAGCCCTAGAGAGATAAAATGCACATAGTGTACACTCATTACTTAAAATATTTGTAGTCTTAATGGTCTTAATATAGGGTGCAAAGTGAATGCAGTGGACCCTTGAGTAACAACATCATTGGATAACGAAAAAAACGGATAGTGACACGTTTTTGCGTCATAATATTGGCTTGGTTATCGAAAAAGAACTCGGTTAAGGACATTCGTCCCGAATGTGTCAGCGCGGTGTGAGTGGCCTGGACACTCCATGTACAGCCAGTGTGCCCTTGTTTACAAGCCAGGGAGGACGATTCCACATGTACATGCGATGTATTTTGTATTATTCCATTGTTTTTAGTTCTTATAACTGCTAAATAAGCCACCATGGGCCCAAAGAAAGCTTCTAGTGCCAGCCCTGTGGTAAAGAGGGTGAGAAACACTAGAATTCAAGAAAGTTTGTAGAAAGATACAAAAATGGTAGTGGTAGTGATGGTGGTAGTATGGGTCAACAGGTCTGCTGCAATGTTCGTGCTTTCTTAGGTACACTAGCGAGGGTACTTCCCACACACCAGCCAGGGAACTTCCCCACATACCAGCCAGGGAACTTCCCCACATGCCAGCCAGGGTACTTCCCCACATGCCAGACAGGGTACTTCCCCACACACATGATTTGATTTGATTGGGACTTGCACATAAGTGATTAGAATTATCAAAGCTTATTGCTTGGGAAGCATTAAAAATTGGGTTGGGCAAATACGACTCTGTTAGTGGGATGGTTTGTGAAGGACCTGCCTAGTATGGGCCAACAGGCCTGCTGCAGTGTTCCTGCTTTCTTATGTGCAAACTTACTTTGTGATTATTATTGTGTGTTGTTATTACTATCATTATTAATATGGCATCTTCAAAACTAATAAGACACACTTAGTGATTTTAATATGTACCTGCATGCCAGCACAGTGTGTAAGTTGACTTAGGTATAGGTACACATGATTATAATTATCAGAGTATACAGTGGAACCTCTACTTATGAGTGCATCCACATGTGAGTTTTTCCATATACGAGCAGTCGCTTGGTCGATTTTTTGCCTCCAGACACGAGCGAAATTTCCAGATGAGAGCGGGCATCAAGGGAGGTTCCTTGACGCTGGTGAGGGGCTCTTGCTCTTGATCTAAGGAATTTGGTCTCGGTTGTTTGTTGGACTATCTTATTGAAACTTGGGCAATGTATGCTGGAAAGATGCTTCTTAACATACATCAAAAATGAAAGTAATCGGACCATAAATAACGGAGTTAACTTCTCAGCCATTAGCCTCCCCTTAGTGGTATATTTTTGTATGTTTTTTTTGTTATATTCTCGTTTTTATGGTCTCATTTGATAGAATGGAAGATAGTAATAGATATGATTTTTTGCTTGGTTTCACGATGAAAAGTACCTTGAAATTGAGCTCAAATTAACAGAAATGTTCGATTCTTTGAATGTCCAATACCTGTCCGATTGGCACTGCCCCTCAACCTTCACATGTTGGAAAGCTCTTCAACACACTAGCAAAAATGGGAGCAGACATAACGAGGTAGCAGTGGAAGACAACATGAAGCAGCAGCAACAGAGGTAGACAACGTGAAGCAGCATTGGCAGACCTTGTACTTTGAAAACAACCTCATTGTACCCTGGTAACAACAATGGCCGCTGTCACCACCAGTAGCCACATACGTAATGACATGTATTTTATTCATTCTCGTGTATATATCATGTTTCTATGTTATTAGTATTGTATATTATGTCATATTACATGAATTCTGATAAATAAATAAGCTGTAGAGTTGATATTAGGGAAATTATTGAAGTATTTTGTCATGCCTGGAATTCCACTGGAATGGATTACTGTAATTCCATTTCAGTTTAAAAATTTAAATTAGGAAAATTGACTCTGTAAATGAGCAAATCCAGATGCGAGCAAGGTCACGGAGCGGATTAAACTCTACTTAAGAGGTTCCACTTACAGTGGAACCCCCATAGCGTAACTTAATTCCGGCAAGGGCTGTCTTAGCAAATGTTACGGAATGCGAATTATTTCCCGAAATGAAATAATGGAAATAAATTAATCCGTTCAAGACCCAAAAGTATGGAAAAAAGAATTTTTTAAATTAAAAATGTATTAATGTTGAATACCACAGTGATACTAAAAAGGCATTCACAATTACATTGACACTAAACTTTAATTGAAGATCTGGTGATATTAATGGGATGGCAGGGGGTAAGAGGTGTAATATCTTTCTTAAAGAAGAGATCCCATTCCAATTTAACACTGGATGAGGAAACAAGTCCTTTCCGGTTACTTCCTTGCATTTATTGCCTACTTGGCACTTCAGAGTCACTGGATTTCTTTTCTGTCCATAGAGCTCTGTTACCGTCCGTTCCTTTACTTTGTTCAAATGGGCCATAACATTGGTCATTGAATGTCACCAGCACCCTTGCAACTAGTGTCAGGTGATTTATCATCCATAAAGGTTTGCAGTTCACCCAGATTCAAGCTATCCTAATTTTTGAAGTAAGGCACTAATGGATTCCACAACGGCATTAGGCTTCTACAGGGTAATAGCCCAACCCTTTCAAAATTCTTTCTTAATTTCCATACTAATTCTCACCCTTTTTACCACAGGTTTTGCACTAGAATGTCTTTCTTGGGCCATGGTGCAATTATTCAACAAACATAACCTGACAATGTAATAATACGAAATATTCCGATGTATGCTTGAATGTTACGCGGAGGCTAGCTGGTAGACAATGGGACAGTGGCACATGTGAGGCTGGCTGAAGCCGCACATTGGAGGCATTTGACGAAGTTCGCTGAAGCGCTTTTGCCTACTAGCGGCAAATTTTAGCGATCAAAGCGTTCTATGCGGAATGCGCTAGTGTAAGGCTTCGCTATGCGGGGGTCCCTGTATATGAAAGTAGAAAACTTTAAAATCTTGAAATTTTTGGCACGTTGTCCAACTAAAGGAGAGATGGGTTGTTCACGAAAATGTAAAAACTGGTTGCAATGCCTTATTAGAAAGATTGTGGGAACCATATAGAGTTTTGGTCATAATTTGTAAATTAAAAGATTATGAATGCAACGTTAAGGTGATGCATAAAGAAGGGATTCATAATTTATTTGAACTTAAGAATTTTAAAATGTGTAAATACGACATGTTAATATTAAGACGTTCTATTTTAAATGGTGAAAATTAATACTTTCCTTGCCTAAAAAGATGACATGAGATATAATTTAATGGATAGATAATCTGAGTTAACTTCTTACATTAGGGTAAATGTTTTAATTCTACTTTTTCTGCATTCTGGTACATTTTATGTTTAACTTTTTTCAGTTCAGTGTTTTAGATACATTTCATCTTTTATTGATTTTTGTTATCCTGATAAGTATTATCATTAATGTACATTGGTTTAATAACACTAAAACAAGGACTCTTTGATATGGTAAGACTTTATAATGCTGCATGATGTTACATGATCAAAAATAATTAAATTATAGGAAATTTCTTATTGCTTGAACACTGAAATGTTCCATGTTTATTGTCATTTCTCTGAAATAGGTTAACTTTTATTTTTTATCCACAACCTTATTTTATCCCCCTTTTTATTTTTCATTTACAGCGGCTAAACACGAGATGCTGAAGTCTAAGTTGCCCAATTCTGTTCTGGGTAAGGTATGGAAAATGTCTGATATTGATAAAGATGGCATGTTGGATGCAGATGAATTTGCACTAGCCATGCATCTCATCAATATCAAATTGGATGGCAATGATTTACCCAACGATCTTCCTGAACACCTTGTGCCTCCTAGCAAGAGAGGTTTCCAAGCCTAATGAGTTAATCATTCACTTCGTAATGACAGTGTTAAGATTTCATTTGTTGAGTGAGGCTGGTGTGACTATGAAGGTCAGATTACAGCTCTTACAAGGCTACACCTGTTTGTTGATGTGGTGTCTAGAGGGAATGTTTGTGTAGAAAAATGAAATTTCAGATTTGTCATTTATATTCATGTATTCATTAATTGTGGGAGAGTAAAGTTAGCTCTAGTTTTATAATTTTTTTAAAAGGAGAAATAGTTGGCAAGTTAGTATTAATGAATGTTCTTTGCCCTTGTCTGACACTATTCAGTCACTGGCTTAGATTTTTATATGACAAATTAAAGTATTTAGAACAGTTTCTTATTTTAAAATGTTTATCTACATTAAAGATTTTCTCAGTCCTTCATAAAAGGACAATGCTGGATGTGTGTGTGTGTAACAACAGTTTGACATTGTAGAAGGAGTAAGTGTCTTTAATTGCCACATATGGGTATTATATTCCTGACAGAATGTGATGTTGCAAATTGCTGTTTTGTTACTCTACTCTTTTTTGATTGAGATGCAAAAGTCAGGTACCCAGTGGTTTTAAAAAGGTTAATACAGTACAGTACTAATATATTTTTTGAGATGTTCAGTATTCACCAACAAAGAAAACATAAGATCTAGTCGATTATCTACTCACATTTTTAAAGGCTTTATACCTCGAGATATTCACACAAGTGCAGTATTTCAGTAATGGTTTTTGCTAAGTTCTTATTAGTTTCAATGATTCTACTTGTTAATATACCATATAGATAGAATGTTTTCATGCAAAAGTATTCTTTTAAACACTGCATTCAGCATTTTTACAAATGGCTCCAGGAGAACTTAGCAAGAGCTGTTGGTAAATAGTGCCTGTAGCATATAGCCATCAGTAGGCTGATGTTCACGCAAGTGCCGGAACTTTTTTCCTATAAGCTATTCTGTAAAAAATTTCATAAGCAACCCATGATTGTATATTATTGTTATGATTTTTACTTTGGTAAATTCAAATTTGATTTGCAAAGCTTTGATAAGGTGCTATATTACATGCAAAGCTTGACTAGGCTTGCTACAATATATTGCCACACTTCAATATCACGAGAATATGACATTCCATCATTTTTTGATAGTTTGTCAGTCTCTACACTGGACCATGTTGTAATTTTGGTTAGCACTACAGTGGCTAATTCTGTTGTCACTAGCTGGGTAAATGTTCAAATTTAAAAAAGAAAACAGATCCCCCCCTTAATTACTCAAATAATTTATGAATACAGGTTGTTAAGAGCTCCTACTTCTGAAAAAAAAAAATTGTGTAGCTCAAAAATTTTACAGATTTACTTATTTATGTTCACAGATGCCAGGTTTCAGGAGAGTAAATTTTTTTTTTTTAGGTTACATGTTTTGCAATTAGTATTCAGATGGCATTCTGTAATGATGATGGCAGAAGTAAGAAGGTGGAGTCGTGGCATCAGTGAAGCAGATGAAAATGTGGATGCTCCGCCAGTTTTGTTATGGGCAGGACTGGAAAATTTTGTTTGTTTTCCTTGAAGTTCTGCTGTGTTATGCTCAAGAAGTTTTATAAGTTTAGGTCAATTTGATACGAAACTCCACCTTCATTATTTCTTCACAGGCCTCAGAGCTACTATTGTGTCAGTGTTAAAGAGTTTATTTTAAAAAATGTAAATTTATTGTAAATAACCATAATGTTATATATTCTCAGTTTTTACACAGCAAATTATTATTGGAAGTATCAGTCCCTAATGTTGCCAACTCTTTCAGGAAACCAAAGAATTAATTCCTTATATGCCTGTAAAAACTGGTACATTCAGAATATTTTATTGTTTATTTGTGTTAACCAGCTAAAGGAAAAAAATATAACTAAGTATATTACTTTATACATAAATTATGCAAATATCATTGTTTTTCATTTTACAATAACCTTACTAATGATAGAATTAAGTAGAGCTGTATAGACATTCATTAAAATATAATATAACCTAGATGAAATTAGAAATGCAATAAATAACTCCAGTACTAGGTTTCTGAATCTGTTGTAAATTAGACAAATCTTCATTAAATGTACATTTATTTTTAAAACACTGGCCATCTCCCACCAAGCCAGGGTGACCCAAAAATGAAACTCCTAAACCATCATTCAACACTCACACTCCTTCACACACAATCACTGTTTCTGCCGAGGTGCTCAGACAACGACTGATTTACTCCACAAACTCTGATGATGATACCTTTCGCACTCCCCTCAGCCCTTTCTAGCTCAGTCTCTTGCTGCCCTTTACCCTTTCACCATCCACTGCCCCGCTGTTATTCGTAACCTATTACTCATCCATCTCCCTTTTGCCACCTGATACCCTCCCTTCCTGCCCTGCAGCGCTGTATAGCCCTTGTGGCTTAGCACTTCTTTTTGATTATAATAATAATAATCAGATACAGCAGTTCAGATGTCACTGTCAATATCCCAAACCCTTCATTTGAAGTGCAGGCATTGTACTTCCCACTTCCAGGACTCAAGTCTGGCTAACTGGTTTCCCTGAATTTTATTATCATGGATGAGCACTAAATCTGTAGAGATTATACAGTGCCTGTGGTAAGGGGGGGAGATGGAAGGCATTCAGATTCAGTTCAGGGAACTGGAGCACAGATCCAGTTCACTAGATCAAGAGCTCCTCACCAGCATCAAGGGACCTCCCTTGAGGGAAGTTTCTCCTGAATCCCTTCACAAAATGTTGTCCTGCTCATGCTCCAACAGCTCAAGTCCCAAAAACTCTTCATCTCCATTCACTCCTAACTAACATGCTCACACATGCCTGCTGTATGTCCAAGCCCCTTGTACACAAAGCATCTTCAACCCCCTCCCTCCTTCCAGATATATACACCCTCCATGTCATCCTATTTTGCTCCATCCTCTCTAAATACCAAACCACCTCAACAAACCCTCTTTAGTCCTCTGAATAATAAATTTAGCAACTCCACACTATAGATTCTCTGCATAATATTTACATTCCACACATTGCCCTTAGACATTGCCACTGCCTCCAACCTCCTCCTTGCTGCAACCCATGCTTCATACCTATATAAGAGTGTTAGTACCACTATACTCTCATACATTCCCTGCTTTGCCTCCATGGATAATATTCTGTCTTTCCACAGATAACCTCAATGCACCATCAACCCTTTCCTTCAATCCTGTGGTTTACCTCGTCCTTTGTAAACCCACCCGCTGACAAGTCTACTCCCAAATATCTGAAAACATTCACTTCTTCCATACTCCCTCCCTCCGATGTGCATATACACAAAATAAAATATACATTTGGTAATTTAAATGAGAATTTGCTTTTAAAATGTTTAAAACATGTTGGTTATAATAGTCGAGGCTGTTCCTTCCAGTTCGTAGGGACAGACCAGTTAAGAGATAGGAATCTTTATTAAATGCAGAACATATTATTTTACCCAAACTGTAAGGTCTCTCCCCCTTGCTTACACCCCTTGTGCATTCCTGAAAATTTTGTTACTCTAGCATTCAGCTATTGCTAGTCATAGATATTTTGTTGGAATATTATAGTTTGAGGATGTCCATGTCTAATTTCATTATTTGTTTTAATAATGCAATTTAAACAATGAACAGTTCTTGAATGAGGCCTTTTTCCCTTCCATTCATTTTCCATAATTCAATTCTTGTACACATGGAATAACAATGGATGTTAAAGGGCTGACTTGTTTAATCATCATCCCCATTTATTATTCCCTTCCTCTGAATTCTATTGGCTTCCCTTCATTTACCTTGCCTTTAAATTCACCCTGCATCTTCTCTTTCTCCCCCTCCTTGGGAATATCCAGTGATTCATGTTTGTTCCTCCTCACTTCCATGTGCAAAAGCTCACTTGCCTACTGCAACTCTATGCTCGACTTTTCTTCATCACTCCCAATCCTGTTCTTATTCTATTGAAGTGCATACTTATAATTCTAAATCTCTTGACAGCTGGGTATGCAGCTTTTTTCCTGAAAGTATAACCCAGTGTCATTTACTAGAATTAACCAGTATTTTCACAGCAGTTATATTCAGTTTTTGCTGCTATCATACATACATTGTAACCATATCTGCCTTGTCATAGTTATTTCTGACTCCCAAAGTGCATTACAAGCTGTCCAGAAAGTAGACCCCTTATTCCATCTTCCTGCATATACAGCTTTGGTTTTAAGTACAAAAGTACTTTTCTGCTGGGTATGCTAGTATTAAGGGCAGTGAACAAGCAGACTGCTACTTTGTCAGCCTTTCATGGCCTCCCAATTTCTTTCTTTCTTTTTCTTTTTTTTTTTTATGCACTATTCCCAGGGGTTCCCGATTGGTTCCTTGATCACATTATCTCCGCCCACACTGGCATGATCTCAGATGGTGAATTTGTATTATATTAGACATAAAAGATGTACGAAAACGATAAAAATAACACGGGGAAAAGCGTCACAAAAACGTCAACAAAGTTGAGTCAGCGCTTCTTACGCAACATGTTGCGTCAGCGCTGTCACCATGCCTGTTATAAATGGCTGTAATTCCTTTTAGAAACATCGTACAAGGATAATAATTATACCAGCGTGTAGCCAGAAAGTTCAGCTATTTTTTGGTAACAATAACTCCATTTTTATATATTTTCGATTTTTTTTTTGCTCCGCGCGCGGGACCTATTAACGCCTCCTTAAGGGCAGTGAACAAGCAGACTGCTACTTTGTCAGCCTTTCATGGCCTCCCAATTTCTTTCTTTCTTTTTCTTTTTTTCTTTCTTTTTCTTTCTTTCTTTACAGTACTCTCCTAACAGTTGTAGAATTAATAAATAATTAAAAACAAATGCATCCTCAGCATTTTGCCTGTACGGTTTAATTTTCTGCATCTGGAAATTATTGAAAGTGCTTTTTCATTCAAGAAAGGTGCTTTAAGGCTGGTAAAGGGCTCTTGATCCAAATAGCTGGAGCTACCCTCCCCTTCCTCAGATCAAACCTGATTGTCTCCCATTTCAAAGGTACTATATGAACCTTGTCTTTAGTGCTTCCCCATCAATATAACAATAAGAGTGCATTTAAAGTGAATAAATAATTTATTAAATAAAATAGTTTATATTACAAAGATAAATTTTGACTTGAAGTAACTACTCTCCAGTATGTGTATGAAACTGATAGAACCCATAGGCACTGTAGAATTAGAGGCTCATTCCTTAATCATTCATGAACCCTCAAATATTCACAAGCCTTCATAAATATTCATGTGGCCTATAAAATAAAACAAATGGATTTGTCAGTTAAAAATAGGAGAGGAGAGTTATTAAATGGAGAGTTAGAGGTATTGGGAAGATGGAAGGAATATTTTGAGGAATTGTTAAATGTTGATGAAGATAGGGAAGCTGTGATTTCGTGTATAGGGCAAGGAGGAATAACATCTTGTAGGAGTGAGGAAGAGCCAGTTGTGAGTGTGGGGGAAGTTCGTGAGGCAGTAGGTAAAATGAAAGGGGGTAAGGCAGCCGGGATTGATGGGATAAAGATAGAAATGTTAAAAGCAGGTGGGGATATAGTTTTGGAGTGGTTGGTGCAATTATTTAATAAATGTATGGAAGAGGGTAAGGTACCTAGGGATTGGCAGAGAGCATGCATAGTTCCTTTGTATAAAGGCAAAGGGGATAAAAGAGAGTGCAAAAATTATAGGGGATAAGTCTGTTGAGTGTACCTGGTAAAGTGTATGGTAGAGTTATAATTGAAAGAATTAAGAGTAAGACGGAGAATAGGATAGCAGATGAACAAGGAGGCTTTAGGAAAGGTAGGGGGTGTGTGAACCAGGTGTTTACAGTGAAACATATAAGTGAACAGTATTTAGATAAGGCTAAAGAGGTCTTTGTGGCATTTATGGATTTGGAAAAGGCGTATGACAGGGTGGATAGGGGGGCAATGTGGCAGATGTTGCAAGTGTATGGTGTAGGAGGTAGGTTACTGAAAGCAGTGAAGAGTTTTTTACGAGGATAGTGAGGCTCAAGTTAGAGTATGTAGGAAAGAGGGAAATTTTTTCCCAGTAAAAGTAGGCCTTAGACAAGGATGTGTGATGTCACCGTGGTTGTTTAATATATTTATAGATGGGGTTGTAAGAGAAGTAAATGCGAGGGTCTTGGCAAGAGGCGTGGAGTTAAAAGATAAAGAATCACACACAAAGTGGGAGTTGTCACAGCTGCTCTTTGCTGATGACACTGTGCTCTTGGGAGATTCTGAAGAGAAGTTGCAGAGATTGGTGGATGAATTTGGTAGGGTGTGCAAAAGAAGAAAATTAAAGGTGAATACAGGAAAGAGTAAGGTTATGAGGATAACAAAAAGATTAGGTGATGAAAGATTGAATATCAGATTGGAGGGAGAGAGTATGGAGGAGGTGAACGTATTCAGATATTTGGGAGTGGACGTGTCAGCGGATGGGTCTATGAAAGATGAGGTGAATCATAGAATTGATGAGGGAAAAAGAGTGAGTGGTGCACTTAGGAGTCTGTGGAGACAAAGAACTTTGTCCTTGGAGGCAAAGAGGGGAATGTATGAGAGTATAGTTTTACCAACGCTCTTATATGGGTGTGAAGCGTGGGTGATGAATGTTGCAGCGAGGAGAAGGCTGGAGGCAGTGGAGATGTCATGTCTGAGGGCAATGTGTGGTGTGAATATAATGCAGAGAATTCGTAGTTTGGAAGTTAGGAGGAGGTGCGGGATTACCAAAACTGTTGTCCAGAGGGCTGAGGAAGGGTTGTTGAGGTGGTTCGGACATGTAGAGAGAATGGAGCGAAACAGAATGACTTCAAGAGTGTATCAGTCTGTAGTGGAAGGAAGGCGGGGTAGGGGTCGGCCTAGGAAGGGTTGGAGGGAGGGGGTAAAGGAGGTTTTGTGTGCGAGGGGCTTGGACTTCCAGCAGGCATGCGTGAGCGTGTTTGATAGGAGTGAATGGAGACAAATGGTTTTTAATACTTGACGTGCTGTTGGAGTGTGAGCAAAGTAACATTTATGAAGGGATTCAGGGAAACCGGCAGGCCGGACTTGAGTCCTGGAGATGGGAAGTACAGTGCCTGCACTCTGAAGGATGGGTGTTAATGTTGCAGTTTAAAAACTGTAGTGTAAAGCACCCTTCTGGCAAGACAGTGATGGAGTGAATGATGGTGAAAGTTTTTCTTTTTCGGGCCACCCTGCCTTGGTGGGAATCGGCCGGTGTGATAATAAAAAAAATAAAAAATATAAAATAAAATACTTTTATCCTCTTCTAGGATCCTTCTCTTGTATCCTGTATTTCCCATATTTTTTCCACCCTTTTCTGAGAAGGTATCAAGTGGCAATGACAAATATGGATGCTCCAAAAGCTGGAGGTGTGATAGGTCTTGTGGTGGTTTGTGTGCTGTAGTCTATCAAATGATCTTTGTATTGTGAAATACTTAAGAATTATGTAGTGTGTCCTGTCATCATTTGGTTGTGTATTACAATATTATAAATAATATACAGTAGTTTAAGACAAGAAAGATTAGAGTTGTGGATAGAATTGTGGTAATTGTGTATGTTGGCACAGTTTTAGCTGACTGAGGAAGAAATGCAGTAGTCAATTATGCAAGTAAACAGGCTTTGTGGTTCATGAATTTTTCTTGCGGTTTGTCTTTACTTTGTTCCACATTTTCTTCTGCCTATTACTCCTTGATCCTAGTTTTCTTTTCTGATGTAATCTGTTTCCAGCTTTTTTGCAGTTTGGATATTCTCTATTCTTCGCTTTTTTACCTGCCAGTGTGTTACTTATGCTGAAAAATACAAAAACCTAGTTACCGTAAACAGTATATGATCAAAACATTTGTATAACTAAAAATAAGTAATCTGAACTCTTATACTATAAAAGCATAATTTGTATTTCATCTTTGTTATTAACAAGTATGTGGGTTTAGTTCATTAACTTGGTCAACTTACCTACTGTTCGCTGATAACTCAGAATACTGGTCTTCCTCTCATTAGATAAGATGTCTCAGGCCTGTACTAAAATACAAGTACACTATGTGAATATGAATTGTTTAAAATAAATACGACTTAATACAGTTATCAATGTTATGTAAAAAGTGTTACATAAAAGTTACATAAAAGTATTTTACTAAATTAGTCAAAGAATAAGATTATTCATGGAACCTGCCCTTTCTCATATGTATCAATATTGAAATATGTCTCCTCTCTTTTCTCCTCTATGGATATCTCATGGAGAGGCGCCCTGCTCCTTTCTCTGGGAATTGTCAGGTTCCATTATCGGTCAGCCACATTCTGTTAGACTGCCCACTTTATCAACGAGCATGCAGAATTTACCTCCGTCGTCGTCTTCGCTCCGCTGATCTCTCTCTTCCTTACCTTCTCGCTGATGGACCCACCTTTCATCCGGACTCTCTCATTGACTTTTTGACAACTGACTTTGTTCACAAACTCTGATGATACCTTCAGCCCTTTCTACCTTGATCTCTTGCTACCCTCTACCCTGCACTATCCCCTACCCCGCTGTTTTCTGTAACCTACTGATCGCCCCTCCCCCCTTCTGCCGCCCAATACCCTCGCTTCCTTTCCTACCCTGCAGCGCTGTATAGCCCTTGTGGCTTAGCGCTTCTTTTTTATTATTATAATAATAATAATCTTTTCTCCTCTCCTTTCTTCTTGCTTCCTTCCTCCCCCCTCCCATACATATACATTGTCAGCAGGTATATCAACACTCTGTACAACAAAAGCACACAAAACTGCATGCTAAGTTAAAATTTAAGCCTTACTGAATCTGCCTATTTACCATGTTAACTTTGAAATTACAGAACATATTGTGAAGAATTTTACCTGGGGAGGCATCATATCAATATTGTTGGTCATGGGCATGTTTATCCTGGGTATCATGCTGAACATTGACACAGATTCATGCATCCTCTCTCGCATTCTTTCTTTTTCCTGTAGTTTGTACAGCAGTCTAGAGAAAGAGAATTATAGGGAATCATTGTCTAATATACTGAGCATGCTTCTAACAATTTTTTTATGCATTTATTATGATGAATACTATGCCTATACTGTATAATATTCTCAATAACTGAACCAATTGTGAATATTTTGGGCACCCACCCCAAAAAGAATTGTGTGTGCATGCATTGTTAAGCATTCCAAAATCTTTTTCGAGGTTCACTGCATGTGGCTGGATTCTATGAAATAATTTATCACAAGCCTGGTGCTCCGGGGTGTGAAATGTACTGCTTAATTTCGGCTAAGCGCCCATACTTTTTGGGTCTGGCTGTTTGGCTAAAGCACTGTTGAAGGTATTAAACTCCATGATCGGCTTGTCTAGAACAAAAGAAAGCGAGTACTGCTCTGCTTTCCTCGATTTCTTTTTGATAGGCACCATTGCTTACTAGGCAGTACATATACTCAGAAAAAAAAAAATAGTAACCAAACACCAAGTCCATCCGCATTAGCTTGAACCTCGGGCTAATTCTTTTGACAAATTAAAAAAAAAAAAAAAAAGCTGCATGGAAAGTAGCAACTACAAATATGTCAATTTATTATTATCACGGGGAAGCACTAAACCTCTAGAATTATACAATGCCTGTGGGGGCAGGGGGGGGATGGAAGGTATTCAGGTTTAATTCATGGAACTGGAGCACAGACCCAATTCCCTAGATTAAGAGCCCCTTGTCAGCATCAAGGAACCTCCCTTGAGGGGATGTCTGAATTGAACCGTATAATTTGAAGAACCTCCTCCAGTGTCATTTTACTATGAACCAGCTGCTTTTACATAGTATTGTCTTCTCTTCAGTTGCCCCCTTTATATGTTCATGTAGCATCTAACTTTTACCCTTTCTCCTTGGGAGGTTCTGACAGTTCATGTCTGTTCTTCCCCACTGCCATGCATGAAAGCCCAAACACCTCCAGTTGCTTCTCGCTCTTTTTCTTAATCACTTCCGGTCTCTCTCTCATGCCATTGCAGTCTACACTGATGGTTCTAAATCTTCTGACAATGTCGAGTTTGCAACAGTGTTTCCGGACAGTGAAATGCAAGGGCATTTATTACTCGGCTAGCATTTTTACTGCTGAATACAGTAGTATGCAATTCCTGTAGCAATTATCCGCATTGCACCTATGCCTGTGTCACCATTTGTGGTAGTCTCCGACTCCCTTAGTGCTTTGCAAGCTATAAAAAATATTTGATTAATCTCATCCCTTGGTCCTTCGTATACAGCTCTGGATACACCGCATCTCTAGCAAAAACAAAAATGTTGTTCTGTTGGGCCCCTGGTCATGTTGATGTACAGGGCAATGAGCTAGTGGACACTGCTGCGGGGTCAGCAGTACATGACCTCCCAGTTTCATTTGGAGGTGTTCCATTCACAGGCTATCTTGCTGTAATTTCTGATTGCCTTTGCAACCATTGTCAACAATGTTGGTCTGATAATGTACTGTACATAATAAACTACATTCCATCAAACCAAATTTAGGTTTCTTGTCATCGATGCCGAGATTGGGAGACTACGCTGTCCTGTCTTCGCACTGGACAAGCTCATCTTACGGGTATCTCATGGAGAGGTGCCCTGTTCCACTCAGAGATGTCAGGTTCCAGTTTCAGTTTGCCATATTCTGTTGGACCGTACAGTCTATCAACAAGCACGCAGAATTTACCTCCGACATCGTCGCCAACACTTACTTTGTTCCCTCCTTGCTGATGGACCCACCTTTGACTCAAATTTCCTTGTTGACATTTTGACAGCAACTGATTTACTACACAAACTTTGATATCCTTCCTCTAGCTCTCCCCACAGCCCTTTCTAACTCTCCCTCTGCTGCCCACTCTATTCCCTGCCCCAATGTGCTGTATGACCCTTGTAGGTTTAGCACTCCTTTTTTTATTATAATAATCGTTACCTAGTATTCAGTCAGGCAGTGCAATGAAAACAATTAAGTCACAGAATTCTTTATATGAAATTATTCCTGAGAGAAAGAGGCTTAGTGTTTAATTTGTGATATTTTTGCATGACCTATAGTATTTCTTACTCTAACCACCTAAAATATATAAACTGGTGTAGATGCACAATGCATCTGCTAACAAAAAAAATAAATGTCCACTCATCTCTAACAAAAATAATGTGTTAGTATCTTTTAGTATTCTCTGAAGGACCTTGCATTGGTAGTCATAATTATTATTATTATAATCAAGGGGGAAGTGCTGAACCCGGAGGATTATACAGCGCCTGGGGGGGGATGTGGAAGGCATTCAGGCTTAATTCGGGGAACTGGAGCACAGATCCAATTCCCTAAATCAAGAGCCCCTCACCAACATCAAGGAACCTTCCTTGAGGGGTGGTAGTCATAAGGTTTGTCCTTAAAGCTCTTTCAATCCAATTCTCTCCCCTCAGGGAAGGTTCCTTGAAGTTGGTGAGGGGCTCTTGATTTAGAGAATTGGATCAGTGCTCCAGTTCCCCGAATTAAGCCTGAATGCCTTCCACATCCCCCCCCCAAGGCGCTGTATAATCCTCTGGGTTTAGTGCTTCCCCTTTGATTATAATAATAATAATCCAATTCTCTGTACTTATCCCATCAAGGATCATACCTTGATCCTTGTGGGGGTCTTGTTCCAAGGAAGCAGAAGTATCCTGCCTTCCCAGAATCGTACCTGAATGTCTTCCCTTTCCCATTTCCTGTATGATCCCTATGAATTTTAACATTTTCTCTGACAAATTATATTTATTCAGTAGGTACATAAAGTTAAGGAGGTGTAACACCTCACTATAGCCTCTGGTGTCTGGCCTCATGCCTCTGCTTAGGCTAAGAGATTGGCCATTTTTCATCAAGGCTGAAAAACTGATTACCTCAAACTATATTTTCATTTCTGCTCTCTCCAAGATTATAATTCACCTCTTTATTCAACTGATGAAGCTTGCTATGCAGGCTAAACTTATAGTCACTAAGTGTTGTTGCATGTCTTGCTCAATGACTTGTCAATGTTGTATACCATGTATAATATGATTTTAGTTAGACACATGTACAACTCTTGGGTATCTTTATTGAGGAAACGTTTCGCCACACAGTGGCTTCATCAGTCCATACAAAGGAGAATCTTGAAGAACAGGAGGAGAATGAGGTAATCAGTCCCTCAACCTTGAGTTGATGTGGTCAGTCCATCAAGATTGATGGACTGACCACATCGACTCAAGGTTGAGGGACTGATTACCTCATTCTCCTCCTGTTCTTCAAGATTCTCCTTTGTATGGACTGATGAAGCCACTGTGTGGCGAAACGTTTCCTCAATAAAGATACCCAAGAGTTGTACATGTGTCTAATTTATCAACATGTCGGTTCTCTGAACCATTCATCTACAAATATGATTTTAGTAACAGTAATATGTGTGAATCAGACACTGATTGCAGAGGAATCTTCAGTGATAAAATGCTTTATAACATTGCAATTTATATTTAACAAGCCAAACTGTGGCAAAACTTTGCATCAATAAAAACTCCTCCACAATCAGCATCTTTCCTCATCATACTGTCGGCATTTCACTAGTACTCACCTAATTGTGGTTGCAGGGGTCGAGACTCAGCTCCTGGCCCTGCCTCTTCACTGGTTGCTACTAGGTCCTCTCTCTGCTTCCTGAGCTTTATCATACCTCTTCTTAAAACTATGTATGGTTCTTGCCTCCACTACTTCACTTGCTAGGCTATTCCACTTCCTGACGACTCTATGACTGAAGAAATACTTCCTAATGTCCCTGTGACTCATCAGCTTCCAGTTGTGACCCCTTGTTCCTGTGTCCCCTCTCTGGAACATCCTATCTCTGTCCACCTTGTCTATTCCCCGCAGTATCTTGTATGTCGTTATCACGTCTCCCCTGACCCTTCTGTCCTCCAGTGTTGTCAGTCCGATTTCCCTCAACCTTTCCTCGTACGACATTCCCCTGAGCTCTGGGACTAGCCTTGTTGCAAACCTTTGTACTTTCTCTAACTTCTTGACGTGCTTGACCAGGTGTGGGTTCCAGACTGGTGCTGCATACTCCAGTATGGGCCTAACATACACAGTGTACAGTGTCTTGAACGATTCCTTATTAAGGTATCGGAATGCCATTCTCAGGTTTGCCAGGCGCCCGTATGCTGCAGCAGTTATTTGGTTGATGTGTGCCTCCGGTGACGTGCTCGGTGTTATGGTCACCCCAAGGTCTTTCTCCCTGAGTGAGGTCTGTAGTCTTTGTCCACCTAGCCTATACTCTGTCTGCGGTCTTCTTTGCCCCTCCCCAATCTTCACGACTTTGCATTTGGCAGGATTGAATTCGAGAAGCCAGTTTCTGGACCACATGTCCAGCCTGTCCAGGTCTCTTTGCAGTCCTGCCTCATCCTCATCCGATTTAATTCTTCTCATCAACTTCACATCTGCGAATAGGGACACTTCAGAGTCTATTCCTTCCACCATGTCGTTCGCATATATCAAAAATAGCACTGGTTCTAGAACTGACCCCTGTGGGACCCCGCTCATACCCCACTGTGATACCTCCCTGTCAGGTATTCCCTGATCCATTGCAGTGCTCTCCCTGTTACATGCGCCTGATCCTCCAGCTTCTGCACTAATCTCTTGTGGGGAACTGTGTCAAAGGCCTTCCTGCAGTCTAGGAAAACGCAATCAACCCACCCCTCTCTCTCGTGTCTTACTTCTGTTACTTTGTCATAAAACTCCAGGAGGTTTGTGATACAAGATTTGCCTTCCATGAGCCCATGCTGGTTTTCATTTATAATCTTGTTCCGTTCCAGGTGTTCGACCACTCTCCTGATAATCTTCTCCATGACTTTGCACACAATACATGTCAGAGACACAGGTCTGTAGTTTAGCACCTCGTTTCTGTTTCCTTTCTTAAATATGGGGACTATATTTGCTGTCTTCCATTTCTCAGGTAGTTGCCCAGTTTCAAGGGATGTGTTGAAGATTGTGGTTAGAGGCACGCACAGCATCTTTGCTCCTTCTCTAAGGACCCATGGGGAGATGTCTGGTCCCATCGCCTTTGAGGTATCAAGGTCTCTAGTACGTGTGTATCCTTTCTTGGCCCCGGTTACATTCAAGTCATCTTTCTCAATTGTGTTTCTTGCCTGGAAGTTTTCTTGATATCAACTTCACTTAAGAGTATTCATTCACAAGTGGTTATTATATATTTCAACTGCTACAGAAGTCATTTCATCAGGTTATTACTGAAAGTATTAGAATATGAAAGCCAATTATGTCTAGCAAACAATGTATTCTCATCTCAAAGATGTTCCCATCTTTGATGATGAATTATGTATATCCTTGTTCATGAAAAGCAAGTTGCATTCTGAACATGTATTAGCTACATCCTCCCAACAAGTTAAGAGAGATGTTGCCTATTATGCCTAATATGGTCTCTTAACTCTCATCTATATACGTACCCTGATACACAGGTTATTAAATACTGTATATAACTGCACTTTATGAAGATTGCACCCTTCAAAGTTTCTAAAACTTTTAAGTGTACAAATGGGGAAAATGAATGAATAAAAGCATTCATGTTGGACAACTTTAGATTTATAAAAGATATAGGAAAGTGCTTGTTTAGCAATTGAGTTGTAGATGAGCAGAACAAACTCCCAGGTAGCATCACTGAAGAAAGAAATTTGGGTAGCTTTAAATACAAGTTCGATGGATACATGTATCTATAACTTCCTAACAAAGAGTAATAGTAAACAGTAAAGTCACAGGTGGCTACAGTGAAAAGCTCTGTTCCACAGGGTACAATAGTCACTTCCACCCTTTTCCTCATCCTCATATCTGACACTGAGATATAAGCCACAGCACCGTGTTCTCTTTTGTTGATGATACCAGAATTTGTAAGACAGTGTCATCCATTGAAGACACTGCAAATCTCCTAATGGACATAAACCAAGTCTTTAAAATTGGCCTCAGAAAACAATAAGAAGTTCAATGAGGACAAATTTCAATTACTCCACTATGGAAACTTTAGGAAATAAAAAACCGGATCAGAGTATAAAATTACTTTCGTGTGTAGCTCTCACTTGATCAGGAACACACATCTCATCCATAGCCACCTGTTCCCAGGTATTCCACCCCAGCTTGTGGCATGCAGCTGAATGCAGGAACAGTTCAACAGTTTGTCCACGCCTTAGACTTTCTGCTTTCATTGTGCATTTTTAAATTACCAGGGTGCCTGTAGGGACCTCAAGGACCTTTTAAGGGATTCTTTTGACATCAATAATTGGTATTTCTAACTGTAGATGGTTGTTTTAACTTGGTACGATAATACAGTTTACTTGTGTTATGTATTTTCATAGTATTTTTTATTCGTTAATTTTTATCTTTTTTATTTTGCGTTGAAATATTTTTTTTGTTGCCAAGAACATTGTATGATCTAAACGGTAAAAGAGCTCTTCAAATATCAAAGCTACCTACCAATCACTAAACTGTTTCATATTACCTAGAGAGCTGGTCATCCCACACTACACTCTGTAGTAGTAGTACCTTGAGAGTTGGTCGTCCTCTTCACCAGACTCGAGCATGAGAGCGTTGTAGTCATTGGGTCGTTGCAACATCTGGTCCAACCTGAGCACCGTCTCCCACAATGACGATGACGACCCTCCGCCAGCCTCACTACTCTTTTGCAACACCTGCCACAAGCCAAGGAAAAACCACTATTATCATGGCCGAACTTATGCACAAGTTAACACTAAACTTCTAAAATATTCCCCCATCCTTACTATTACCTATTTTGACTATAATTTATTGGTGTCATTAAACACGATATAGCTTAGCGCCTCGGAAAGTTAAAGCTCGGTCCTGATTATTATACGTCACATTTGTACATTAAGAACATTAGTAATATAGTTCATCTACCATTTCTGGATTCTTTTCTAACACTGAAGCCAGGAAACCCCTTAAGGGAAGTTCTAGATGCTGGTAAGCAGCTCTTTGATCCAAAGAACTGGACCTATCTTCCCTTTCCTTGGATTAAACCTGGTAACCTTCCATTTCCTAAAGAGCTGTAAGACCCCTACGAGTTTAGTGATCCTTCCATGAATGAAATAATCAAAGAAAATAATCTTGGGTAACTTTAAAATAGGTTACACACAACCATTAGTGAGAAAGGTTGGGTGTAAAAAGGACCTGTCTATCAAGTTCTTGTGCTAAATCCGAGTGTTAACTTACCGTGGTAGGAGCAATGGTGGTGGTGGAGGGAGGGATGGATGTTGGGTGTGGTATGGTAGGCGAGGTCACCCATGCCAGTGTCACCACCATCAGCATCACTTTTCGAACCTCCATCCTTGCTTGCTTTCTGATGTAATGAAAGATAGCACAAAATGTAAATTATGAATAGAAAACAAGTCACCATGAAAAAATTCGCTTAAAATTTAACCAAAGTAGTTAGGACACTTAGTATTTCTTACCTCTCTCTCTTCCTGTCTACCCACAACCTTTTTTGTCACTGCTCTATCCTTCTCAAGCCCTTCTGTTCACCAATCCTTCCATTCCTCTTAACATAAGAACATAAGAAAGGAGGAACACTGCAGGAGGCCTGTTGGCCCATACTAGGCAGGTCCTTTACAATTCATCCCACTAATAAAACATTTGCCCAACCCAATTTTCAATGCCACCCAAGAAATAAGCTCTGATGTGAAAGTCCCACTCAAATCCAACCCCTCCCACTCATGCACTTATCCAACCTAAGATTTGAAACTACCCAAAGTCCCAGCCTCAATAACCCAACTAGGTAGACTGTTCCACTCATCAACTACCCTATTTCCAAACCAATACTTTCCTATGTCCTTTCTAAATCTAAACTTAACTAATTTAAATCCGTTACTGTGGGTTCTCTCTTGGAGAGACATCCTCAAGACCTTATTAATATCCCCTTTATTAATACCTATCTTCCACTTATACACTTCGATCAGGTCTCCCCTCATTCTTCGTCTAACAAGTGAATGTAACTTAAGAGTCTTCAATCTTTCTTCATAAGGAAGATTTCTAATGCTATGTATTAATTTAGTCATCCTACGCTGAATGTTTTCTAACGAATTTATGTCCATTCTGTAATATGGAGACCAGAACTGAGCTGCATAATCTAGGTGAGGCCTTACTAATGATGTATAAAGCTGCAGTATGACCTCTGGACTTCTGTTGCTTACACTTCTTGATATAAATCCCAGTAATCTATTTGCCTTATTATGTACGCTTAGGCATTGCTGTCTTGGTTTAAGGTTGCTGCTCACCATAACCCCCAAGTCCTTTTCGCAATCTGTATGGCTAAGTTCTACATCATTTAACTTATAAGTACTAGGGTTATGGGCACTCCCAAGCTTCAGAACCTTGCATTTATCTACATTGAACTGCATCTGCCACTTTTCTGACCAAGAATAGAGTTTGTCCAAATCCTTCTGAAGTTCCATAACATCTACGTTTGAATCAATTATCCTACCTATCTTTGTGTCATCGGCGAATTTGCTCATATCACTAGTAATTCCCTCATCAAGATCATTGATATATATTATAAACAACAATGGGCCTAAGACTGATCTCTGTGGAATGCCACTTGTCACAGATCCCCACTCGGACTTAACCCCATTTATGGACACTCTCTGCTTCCTGTCAGTGAGCCATGACTCAATCCACGAGAGCACTTTTCCCCCAGTGCCATGAGCTGCCACTTTCTTTAACAGTCTATGGTGTGGAACTCTATCAAAAGCCTTACTAAAATCTAAGTAAATAATATCAAATTCTTTATCGTGGTCAACAGCCTCAAAAGCTTTACTGAAAAAAATTAATAAATTAGTTAGACAAGACCGGCCTCTTGTGAATCCATGCTGAGTATGAACATCAAAATGGTATAAAATACCGACAGGTTGGTAGGTAAGACACAAAGGCAACAGTTAGGCAACTTTATTCCGAAACGTTTCGCCTACACAGTAGGCTTCTTCAGTCGAATACAGAAAGTAGGCAGGAACAGTAGAGATGTGAAGACGATGTAATCAGAACTGAACTCTCCAGGCTGAGGGACTGACAACCTCAAATTCTACGACTTCAAGGGTGATGGACTGATTACATCGTCTTCACATCTCTACTGTTCCTGCCTACTTTCTGTATTCGACTGAAGAAGCCTACTGTGTAGGCGAAACGTTTCGGAATAAAGTTGTCTAACTGTTGCATATGTGTCTTACCTACCAACCTGTCGGTATTTTATACCATTTTGATGTTCATCTTGTCAGACACTGCAACACATGGCCTCTTGGTACAGAAAACACCTTGGACAACCCTTTCAAGTGAGAACTGTTGGATCTGAGAGGGACCTGACCTATCAGTGGCTACATTCTCACTACTACTACTACTATGCACCTCTCCTTCCGACAGTATTTAAGTCTCCGCACTGTCGCTTGATCTTCAGATAGTTCCTGATTTGGGAACTGAACTCCCAGGCTGAGGGACGACAACCTCAATTTCACGACTTCAAGAGTGATGGCTTTTACATCGTTTTCACTCTCTATTTTCCCTCCTACTTTCTGTATTCGACTGAAGAACCCTTTTGTTGGGCGAAACGTTTCGGAAAAAGTTGCCTAACTGTTACCTTTGTGTTTTCCCTACCAACATGCTGAGTATCTTAATCAAGCTATCTTATCGAGAGGCTTTTTATAACCCAGCTATAATTATCTAGTAATTTGCTACAATTAAAGGTCGGCTTTTTGGGGCGGAAAATTTGACGGTAACGATTGGTCCCTGTTTTAAAAATAGGAATTAATTAGCCTCTTCCCATATAGACACTAACCTTTTTGAGAAAAAATTAAAAATATTAGTTAAGGGTTCACAGAGTTCCATTTTGCATTCCTTAAGAACCCTTAAAAAAAACCTCACGGCCCCGGTGATTTTAATTTGCTTCAGTCTGTCTATTGCTTCACAACCTCTCACGGACGTGATTTTCATAATTTATCTTCTTCTAGCCCCTAAAAAATTTAAATTCGGGAATTTTGTTATGTCTTCTGTTAAAAATGAGAGAAAATTTATTAAAAATCAGCACATTTCATTCTCTTTGTCAGTAAGGTGCCCATAGTTATTTTTAGGGGACCATTTTTTATTCAAACTTTTGTTCTATGACCTGGAAAAAAATTTTTTGGGTTAGTTTAGAACCCTGCAATTTTAATTTCATAGTCCTTTTAGTTTTTCTTACCCTTTTTTAATGTCCTCTTAATGTCAAAAAACGATTCAAAAGGATCCTCACCTCTTTTGATACGCTTAAATTCCTTTTATGCCTAGGATATTTGGGGCCTATTATTCACCATTTTGGGTCTTTTCTTTTTGATCAATTTCTTTATATGGGATAAACGTTCTTTGAGCGCATGTATATGTTCAGAAAACTGTATTTTGATATCTCACTTCGTTACCCCAGTCAACAGAGAAAAGTGTTCTCTAACCCCATCGAATCTGCTAAGCAAAAAAAAAATCTGGGACTGTTACTGATTTTATCGCTACTATCATAGTTATTCAATGTAAATGAATTTATTTGTGGGCGCTAGCACCCGTTCCTCTGAAATTTCTAAATTATTTAAAAGGGATTTATTGTTGCCTAACTAAGTCAAGCAGGTTATTTCCCCCTTTTAGGTTTTTGTCACAAAATGCTTTAAAAAAAATCCCGAAATCTTCTAAGAAATCGTATGATTCTAAAATTCCCATCAAAAATTTCCAAACAATATGTAAAGTTAAAGTCTCCCAAATTCATTATCGGCCTTGTGGCCTTAAAATTTCCTCCCATAGTAGTCTCCCCTTTGGGCCCTTTAAGTTTGGGGACGGTATATCACTCCTAAAATCAGTTTTTCATGCCCTCTGAAATTTTATCCAAAAAGACTCTGTAGTGTTACTTCAGACTTAAAACCCGTTTTTATGCAACAGTTAAGCGATCTCGGGGCTACAATGCACCCCACCCCCCCTTCCCCATACTTTTATCTATTGGAACAATTTTAAAACCCCGAAATGACATTTCCCCAGGATGTCCCCCTTTTTTAAATTAAAACCCCGTCCAGTTAAGGCAAATAATCAAAGTTCCTGCACTAGCAACTAACTCAACCGTCCATCTTATTCCTAGCCTACGGCAATTAGCTAATAAAAATGAAGACCTTTCCCTTTTTCTTTACCCTTCCTGCTCATTTTTTTTATACTAAACTTTACTGTCCCCTTTTACCCAAAGTCCCGGCTTTTCAATTCTACCCCGTTCTGCTTTTACTAGTTCCCCAGAACCCTAATAACACACTGGGACTTCACTTTTTCCTGCCAAAAAAACCCTACCACTAACTATTCCTAGTTTAAAGTCCCAACTGCCCCCCCAGCATTGCCAGTGCTACCCCCCAACCTAGTAAATGAACCCCCTCCCTGGCTACATGTCATTTCGTCAAGAAGAGGTCCCATTGCAATGTGTTACCCATTTTCCTTACAGTATTTGTCCAGCCAGCAATTGACACCAATTGCCCTGGACAACCATTCATTTCCAACTCCTCTCCTTGGCAAAATACCACATATGACAGGGTTCCCACCCTTACTCCTAATTATTTCTATTGCTGACCTATACCTGCTAATCAGGTCTTCACTCCTACGTCTGCCAACATCGTTGCCTCCAGCACTGAGACAGATAATAGGATTGCTCCCATTACCTCTCATGATGTCATCCAGACGGCTAACAATATCCTCCATCCCAGCCCCAGGAAAGCAAACTCTCTGTCTCCTACTCCTGTCCTTCAAGCAGAACGCCCTATCCATATACCTAACTTGGCTATCCCCAACAACATTATTCTTACCTTCCTTGGTGTCGTTTGTCGTGATGTTCCCAGTAGTCGACTTACATTCGTCGGGTAGCACTGAGAATGTATTAGATGTTTCCACAACAGTTTCCACGGCAGTCTCTTTCTTCTTCATCGTTTCTATCTTTCCATTCGTCTTCTTGATCGTCAACTTCGTTCCCTGCTGTCTAGCCACTGACCAGTTTCCCTTCTTGACCTGAGGACTCAAAACAGGAGGACTACTACGAATCTTCTTGTTTTCCTCGGTCAGTCGCCGAATCTCCAACTTCGCTATCCTCAATTCTTCCTTAAGCTGTTGGTAAAGTTGCTCGATGGAGGGCATCTTGCTTCAATTCGTAGAGAGCGCGCAAACAGGTCTTCACAGAGCTAAGTACACGTCAACACCGCGCAAAAGCCAACTCAATCAGGAGCTACTGCGCAGCACGTCCGCACGGCCCAATAGTGATGCGAACACCTTATGGCCCAACCAAACACAATACGTATAAGGAATAATTCAAGTTACTATGAGGTTACATTTCTTCTCGGAG